CTCCACAGAAAGAAAATAAGACAGTTTGGCAATTGGATCCCAGTTGGTTGTTGGTTGATTTAGGTTTTAAGTTGTATTCGTTTTTTCTAATGTTGTTTGCTTCTTTGAGTATCTCTTAAGAGAGAAAAAGCAGGATGATGACGATGATAATGCCCAAATCAACAACTTTTGAGTTTCCTGTGGGATTATATTAGTATTTTCAAGGCTCTTGGGAAACAGTCATCCACCCTATCCGAATATTTGAGCCCACATCATTCAGAATGCAAGAACTTTCTCTTAATGAACAAGTTTGCCATCTGCCTGCTGTGCACATCTTCGCCCGATGCCATCTTTATATTGGTAGGTTACATACCTGTGACCATCTTTCTTCGAGTGGTGCTCTGTGAATTCACACATGTGGAGTGTCTGCGCCTGCGCAGCCCCCCAACGGAAACTTCTCTAGTTTAAACTTTTCAAGTTTTGGCAGTAACCCCGCCCAGTCCCCGGCAGGGCATAAAAGGCGCCCCGTGCGCACACTCAGCAGTTCCTATGCCGCAAGGCAGCGAGAAAGGCGGAGGTCGACTGGATCGGCGAAGACCTCGCTTACAAGGTAGCCAATGAGGCTGTTGTTGCTCTTCGGGAAGAAGACGATGACAAAGTGGGTGGAGGCATCGTCTTTTTCTTCTTTGCCAGGGGTTGAGTCAATGTCGACTTCGAGAGCGACTTGCCCGGCGTGGGAGGGACCGAAGATGAGGTCGCAGCACGACGAGATTCCTCCTGGGCCTGACGAAAGGCAATGCATACTGCCGTTGACGATGGCGGAGTTGTAGCTGCCGAACCCGTGGTCCGGGCTGACCTCACTGAAGCCACAGAGCTAGTTGAAGAGTGGCGCATGCGTATGGTTTCAGTAGTCACCGTACAGGGCCTCTTGGTTTGTTTTGACGGCTTCGAGGTCTTCGACGTCGTCGACATGGTAACCCAAAGTCTCTTTTGTGCCGCCTTAGTCGCATTTGTTCGGCGAGTTGCAGGCTGTGAGGGCGGATCAGCCGGTTGGGAGGTCGATGCCGCTGTTGAGGTTGACGGTTGAGCTGTTGATGCCGATGTCGATGGTCGAGCCGTCAATGTCGAGGGTGCTGGTGCCAGAGACTGCTGGTACAGCAGGTACCGCAGACGATGAACTCGGTTCTTCCGAGATTGTGCCATCAAGGCTTGGCAATGATGACAGGAGTCGGCGATATGGCCTCACCGAGGCAAAGAAGGCACAAAGAGTGCTTATCTGAATCTGGAATCTCCCTAGAACACTGTGTGCAGTGCTTGAATCTAGTTGTGGACATCACAGAAGTTCTGAAGTAAGCCTTGCGGCGGAAAAACAGGAACTTTTATGCCCTGCCGGGGACTGGGCAGGGTTACCACCAAAACTTCAAAAATTTAAACTAGAGACGTTTCCGTTGGGGCCTGTGCAGGCACAGATACTCCACATGTATGCATTCACAGAGACCACAAAGAATATATATATACACACACACCGTCCCTCTCAGCCCGCAGGCAACTCGGGGCGGTTTACAATTGGTGCCAAGACCATAAAATACAATTTCAATAGAATAAAAACAATCAGATAATAAAACCATAACAAAACCAATAAAAACATAAACATTAGAGTCTCCTGTTAAAAACATTGTCCAATCACATCATTCAACCATTCCATTTACATATGCACTCCTCAGGAGATAGTTTTTGAGGAACATGTTCTGTATAAGGATTTGCCTCTCGTGGCATAGGTCTCTGGAATTTCAGTTTGGGATACTACTACTTTTAATAAGCTGGAGTAGTTCTGTGATCTGGGGAAAATTATATGTATTTCCCATACAAGTGGTCGAAGATGATATAAGAAAACTTGTAATAAATATGTTTGTAATATGTAATGCAAGTAATTCTATCCACCTCTAATTTAGGGGAACCACAATCCCATTAATGTTTTTGCCTTCATTCCATGTCTTGAAATGGTTTACATTGGCTCCCAGGGGTGTTGTCTATTCTTTTTTTTTGTGTGTGTATGTGTGTTTCTGAATATAAATAGGGATCAAAAGTAGGCTAATAGTAGCAGTGAAAGTGAGCTGTGATGATTCTTAACTCTGTTTTTTACTCTTTTTGAATAGTAACATGCCCACCAGGTAGATTCAGTGCAAAACAGGATACCGTTTGCATATTATGTCCTGTTGGGTCATATAATGAAAAGTATGGCCAAGTAGAGTGTGAAAATTGTCCTGAGGCAAAAAGCAGTGATGGAAAAGGTGCGAAGACAAAAAGAAAATGTCATAGTAAGTTATTCCATGTGTCTTTACTTGCATTGCAAGGATTGTTCACTCTGATTTTTCTTATGTGACAGATTGTTTTCATACATGAGACCAAAATTAGTTCTTCCTTCAGTTTAAAAGAGGCGATGGTATCTCCGCTGCTGAAAAAACCAGACTTAGATCATTCGGTTCCCTCTAGCTACCGCCCAGTCTCGAACCTTCCATTTCTGGGCAAGGTGGTTGAGAGGGCAGCAGCGGAACAGTTGCAGCAGTTCCTAAATGACACAGCCAGACTTGATCCCTTCCAGTCCGGCTTCCGTAGGGGGCACGGGACGGAGACTGTGCTAGTTGCCATCACAGATCAGCTTCGCTGCCAGATGGATCAAGGCGGATCAGCGCTGCTTGTGTTATTGGACCTCACAGCAGCATTTGATATGGTCGATCACAATCTTTTGACCCACCGCCTAGCCATGACTGGGGTTAGGGGGATAACCCTTAAATGGGTGTCCTCCTTCCTCCAGAATCGGGGACAGCATGTGGTGAGGGGAGGGATGGAATCTGAGAGATCTCCGCTAACTTGCGGTGTCCCGCAGGGAGCTATTCTCTCTTCTCTATTATTTAACATCTATATGCGACCGCTTGCCCAACTGGTGCGGAGTTTTGGGCTTGAGTGCCACCAGTACGCTGATGACACTCAGCTCATTCTGAGGATGGAGGGCCGGCTGGACTCCGTACCCGAAAATTTCCATCAGTGCCTTGAGGCCGTTACTGGATGGTTGCGTTCCAGCAGGTTGAGGGTGAATCCAGATAAGACGGAGATCCTTTGGCTAGGCTGTCCGGGTGGGAGGGAGATCCAGCTGCCTACCCTGGATGGCGAGACACTACGTCCGTCATCTTCTGTA